ATTTGTTAGAACAGGCCTTATATGAAGAACAGGTAAAAGAGACCATGTTAGCATGGAGCAGGGATTTTGATCTTAATTTTGATCTGCATATCTGGCAAGAATTATGGGCACGAAATAGGAAACTCACTCTGGCTACATCCTATAAAGAAAACCTGTATAAAATGTTTTATAGGTGGCACTACCCGCCCACAATTGTCAACAGTTCTTCAGAAGCAATTGAGTTTGTGCATTGTGTGGGGGAATAGAGTCTGAACTAAAATGTTGTCTGTTATATCTGAAGTACAATGAATAGATGTCTAGAGAATTTAGGATTGACTGTAAATACTGTAGATATCTACACAAGCTTTTGATAATCCTATTAGCAACTTTCCTAAACTCCGAGACAAATTCTTGTTCACCCTGTTATTTGTAGACAGGTAGTCTGCTAAAACTAATAAGGTAGAACATTTTTATTGGTTAAGACAGGGGTCCCCAACCCCCAGGCTGCAGCCCGTTTGGAACTAGGCCATGCAAGCGGCAGGCAAGCACATGTGCACAGTTCAACTTGCATGAGCTGTGGGTGCTTACACTCATATTATGAAGCTCCATTTGCATGACGTTTCATTTGCATGAAGCTTCATTCGCGAGCGGCAGGCACACACATCCGCCACTCGCACAAATGGAACTGTGTGCACAAACACGTACCTGCCACTCACACAAAACCATCTCCTCTCCCACCCAGGACACTAAGCTGGAAAGGTTGGGGAGTTAAGGCATCAGGCTAGAAATTGGGAGACTGTGAGTTCTGGTCCTGCCTTAGGCATGAAGCCAACTGGGTGATATTAGGCCAGTCATTCTCTCTCAGCCCTAGGAATCAGGCAACGTCACGACAACCACTTCCTAATGCTTGCCAAAAAAAGATGCAGAGACTTGTCTAGACAATGCTGATTCAAGGGCACCAAAAAGAGAAAGAGAGAAAGAGAGTTAGTTGTCAATAAAACAGTTCATCCATGTTCCTCAACAGCTGCACCAATTTGTCTCCTACTGCTTTTATGTTATCTGTTTTATTATAGTAATATCTGTTTTATGATGCATTTTTATTGTCTAAATGTTTTTAACATTTGAAAACAATTTTAAACTGATAGTTTTTGGCCAAAGCAAAGTATTAAAATATTTAAATTATGAGATAGAGAAAAAGTAACTAAAACTGGCAAACATAGGGAAATTGCAAATAAACATCAAAACCTCAGTTTCTATAGTTCTGAAAAGTACTATGGGGCAGT